TAGGAGAGGTCGGCGGTGGGTAGGCGGGGGGATAGCGGGGCCTGTGGGGGGGGGGGGGGGTCAATATATCATCCTGACTATAGTATCGCAGTATATTGCGATATATCGTATCGTTCCCCACTGTATGGTGATACGTATCTTATCACCAGATTCTTGTCGATACACAACTCTACCTTCTAGCAAACAAACATGGCTCTGTTTTCTGCTAAATCAACATTTAAACATTTAACAGAAACATTTATCCAACACACCTTACAGGAGTTCCTCTGGGAATCGAACCCAGAACTCTCTGCTTGTGAGGCAGGCGTGCTAACTACTACACTATGGACCCGACAATAGTAGCTAAGAGTAGCTACTCACCTGCAAACGTTGGTGTGAGACTCCTGCGGTCTTTGGTCTTATTCAGCTCCAGCTGAACCTGAGAACTGTACTCCTGGTACTGACCAATCACGGCCTGGTTCCTCCCTAAAGGCAACAAGGAGCTGAGAACCTGCAGCTTGTTCTGAACCACTTCTTCACTGTTGCTCATGTTTGAGGGCGGCCTCATGGTCAACAGCATCATGACCTCAGTCAGGTGGTTCTGAATCACATCTCTGATCACGCCGTACTCGTCGTAGAAGGACATTCGACCTTAGAGACACAAAGACGGGGGGAGAATGAAGACACGCCTCAACCAAAGAACCGATGACATCACTGCTGATTCACCTTTGACATCTAACGTTTCCTTCACGACGACCTCCACTCTCTCGATGTGGTGCTTGTTCCAGATGGGATCCAGAAACTCTTTGTTCTCCATTCTAAATGGAAGGATCTTTGCGATCACCTGAACATGACAGCGGACAAACACGAGGAAGATGAGGAATGAAATGGTTTGGTTGGTATATTCTTAGACAACACACACACACACACACACACACACACACACACACACACACACACACACACACACACACACACACACACACACACACACACACACACACACACACACACACACACACACACACACACACACACACACACACACACACACACACACACACACACACACACACACAGAGGAGTGTTTTCTGACCTGTTTGCCCAGGTAGTGGTCAATTCTGTACATTTCCTCTTCCTTCAAAGAGCTCCCGAGCCGAGACGCCAGTTCCTCTGCGCTCAGAAGGCTGTGTCCAAAAGGTTTCTCCAGTACCACCCTGAACCACGCCCCACCGCTTGGTCTGCAGCTGTTATTGATTTTGTCAGCGATGTCAGCGTAGGTAAAGGCCGGCACCGAGAGGTAGAAGAGTCTCCCTGCTTCTGTCACATTGTCCTTCTTCAGCGTTTGCTCGATATGCTGGGCCAAGTCCTGGTAGTTCTCCAGGGTTTTCAGCTGTCTATACTGTGACACTCGAAGGAACTGGTCTTTCAGAACGGCACAGCGCTCCTGGGACACCTCTTTTGGACAGGACACTGTCTTCAGGGCCTCGAAAAGAATCGGCGTGGCAACGTCAGCAGTTCTCTGTCCTCCACCGTAGAAGGAAAAGCTCCTCCCACTCCTGACCTGCTCGACGTACAGCTGGAAGAAGCCCTGCCACAGGTACTTCTTTGCCAGGTCACCTGTCGCTCCCAGTACCACCACGGAGACATGTCCAGGTCTCTCTGCGTCCCCCGTCTTCTCTGCATGTCCTCCAAGAGCACACAGAGTGACCAGGAGCAGGAGAGCAGTCACCAACATGGCCTGGTCTGGAGAAGAAACATTAGTTTGATTTCAACTGTCATCAAGAATTCATCAAGCACTTTCCCACTTAGCCAGACATTTTCATCACATCATCAGGAAAACCCCACGGCACACCACCAAACAAACATCTCACAAAAAGTCGACGTAATGAAATATAATTATAATAATAGTTTAAATTGACTAAAAAAGTACTCCGGTTTAGTTGAAGACAACGCTGATCTACTGGCAGGAGTTGAAGAAAAACACTCACAAAGATCTTCTTTAACAGCTCTAATTATCTTTTTTTGCAGGTTTTAACAACCATCTGCTGCCATCTAGTGGAAGAGGATTTGATTGCTCGGCATGTCACGCATTGAGGAACAATTTTTTATTTTTAATAAATAAATAATTGTTTTAAGACCAATTAAGTGACATTTGATAATTTTCCGCAGCACACCTAGCGGTCTTTCACGGCACATTAAGGTGCCACGACACAGAGGTTGGGAATCACTGACATAACTTTTAAACAAATTAGCTTTAATTCAATTTTTTTTTTAAATTTTAACTGAAGACTAAAGAAATTCAGCAGTAGTCAGTGATAGAAGTTTAGAAAAATAAAACCCTAAACAAATAGAGAATGAAGTAAATACTTAGCACGGCTCTGTGTCCACAGTCCTGTCTGAGGCGGTGATGTGATGTGGTGATAGAGTCATGAGTTCCTGGACAGATGAACGGCGGTGGAGCAGATACACTCAGACGCTCTGCACTTTGAGCCGAGGGCGTCGAGCTTCCAGGACAGAAGAGTCAACGTTGACCAACTGCCGGGAAAAGATCGACCGACGGACGTTTGTCAGAGTCTGAGTCTGTGGATAAGAAGAAGAGTAAAAAAACAAAAATTATAGATATTTGTCTAAGTTCAGGTTTTTATATCAGTTATACTTCATTTATTTCAGGTTGAACTTGTTGGTCTCACAAATCAATGTTACCAATGAAAAACATTCACGTAATTTCTCTGCGTTAGAATGTTTGGAGAGAAAAGAAGTTATTGACAGAAAAGTAAAAACAAACAAGAAAACAAGCTAAATATATATAATATATATACATAAATGTATATATATATAATCTGTCTCTATATATAAACTAGATATATATATAAATTAAATATATCTGTAAAAAGGCAGTGAGAGAGACAGCACAGACTGACTAATTACATGCACTAATTATTATCAAGTCAATTTGGTACAACAGTAATTGATGACAAGGCTGTTTGTTGCCCCCCCTCTCTCCTCCCCCTCTCCCTCTCTTTACTAGGACAACATGTGGAGTCCCTGTGTTCAACAGTCATGTTTGCACAGCAAACAGCAAAGAGCAACGACAGCTTACAAATTAACAACAAGGTAAAACATTTACTAAGTACTCTGTGGTACTCCGTACGTAGTACTTCGTTCTCCGTCACCCATTCATTTTCTTTGCTTGATAAAACACTAACTCCATTCACTCTCTGTCTCTGCTCCTCCACAACTGGTCACCACAGAGTTGAACCCATGGTTCCTCCTCAGTCACACCAGATTATTTTTCTGAATCAATTCTATTGAGAAAAATTAAGTTTTCTAAGAAAACAAAAAAAAAAGCGCACAGTTACTTCCTGTAAAATATTTTCCCCACACAAACACAAGGAGGACTTTTAACAAAAAGGCTGATTTAAACAGATTAATGGCATCCAGAGCACACACACTCTTCCATAAGTTCATGCTAAACCTGATTAATTTTTCTCATTTATTAAAAGAAATCTGTTTGTTTTTTTCTACAGTGACCCCAACAATGTCTACTGTGACCCACCGTTGGACCTCCACCCTCAGTTTTGGAATGGCGGCCAGCAATAGAAGGTGAAATTCTTAAACTATTCCATTTGAATGCTTTGATGGGGAACTGTTCGATATTAATGTAATTTACAGGTCGTGACCATCTATGGTCAGTGAACGTGGATCACCTGAAGTGCAGTGAGCCCCCTGGAGGTCAGGAGTCATTAATTCAGGAAAAGAAAACCAAAACATTTACAGCGTATCAATTCTGCGTTGATCACCTGTTGGTGCTTCAGGTTCACGGATCGAGCACGAGGCACACGTGACTTTAAAACCTCCGGTGTTTTCCTGCAACTAAACTTGGTCTCCTCTACAGCATGATCACACTGTTCCCACCTGACACTTTCCAGTACGTTCGAGCTGTGTCGACGATCGACGAGCTAACGAACAAATCCAGTTTCCCCTCATTGCAGTCGTCAGAAACGTTTTGGAATGATTAGGTCTTCGTATTCTATTCCGGTTAGGAAGATAAAGAGCTACGCCAGATTTAGCACATTCTGGCTACAGCAATATCAAACGTCCGGGACTGAAGCTAATGCTCAGGGACCGTCTACAAAGTGCAAGAAGAAAAATCGAACACTGTTTTGCCCGCCTCTCAACGGAAATGAAAAACACAATTAACAGACCTCTCAATACGATATATACTATATATACAGTCTATTGAATCCACAAAATTGACGAATTTATACAAAGAGTATATATATAAAATAAATCAACACAGTAGTTTTTTTTACTAAATCATACTAAAGATGACTGTGAAAATAAACCGTTTTTTTCCCCTAAAAACATTCTCAAAATGCTCTAATTTGGTGAGAGACATGCAGAAAAGATACCATTTTGAAAACAGTTTTGGAATTTTTTTTTATTAAATTGTTTGTCAAAATCTGTATTGTTAGAAAACAATGTATAGTCAAATTCTAATACATTTTGACAAAATCTTTTATAAAATTATTTTTCAAAACTTTATCTTTATCTGCACGTTTCTCATCAAAATAGGGCATTAAGAGAACAATTTTGGAAATTGTATCTTTTTTTTTTTGTCAAAATCGGTCTAAAAATGTAAACATTTAAAAAATATTTGCAAAAAGTTTTCCGAAATATTTTTCCTAGAAATGTTTACCATAAGATATTTTCCCACAAAACCTTTTCCAAAAATATTTTTATTAATATTATTAAATATTAAATATTAATATTTTGCCAAAACAAATGTATTTTCTAAAAATGTATTTTCTTAACAATTTTTCCATCAATTTTTTAGAAGTGTTTTCATGTTTAGATTCTTTTGTCAAAATCTGAACTTTTTGTGTCATTTTTGGTTAAATCTGTTCAAAGTTTGACGATTTATTTATTGGTAAAATATTTTTTCAAAACTTTATCTTTGTCTATATCTTTTTCATCAAAATATGACATTTAGAAAACATTTTTAGAAATTTTTATTAATTAGATTAATTAGATTTTTTTGATTAAATCAGAACTTTTTTTCATTTTTGGACAAATATGTTCACATTTTGATTACATTTTTTGTAAAATAATTTTTCAAAACTTTATCTTTGTTTGCATGTTTCTCATCAAATTAAGGCATTAAGAGAATAGTTTTAGAATTTTTTTTCATTAGATTCCTTTGTCAAAATCTCTTGTCAAAATCAC